AAGAAAGAAAGAAAGAAAGAAAGAAAGAAAGAAAGAAAGAAAGAAAGAAAGAAGAAAGAAAAGAAAAGAAACATGAAACAAACACGGTGCCCTAAGTGGTGCCTCAGAGGAAGGTGTTTCTTCAGGCTCAGCCTTTCAGCATTCAGAGGCCTCTGTAGCCATGATTTATGGAGACCAGCCTGCTACTTGAAAGGTGCTAGTCTTTGGCCACATCCATGTTGTGCTTGTTTCTCCACTCACAGGATCCAAGCACTGTGGTCATGAATGCTTCTTCCAAGATCTTAAAAGAAGGACTGGAGCAAGGGAAGTGTAACCCTGAGAGGGCAGTGTATGAAGTTGTGAGGGAAGTCAAATATAAAATGGAGACTCCAGGAGGCAGGAGATGCCAAAGATGTGCATGTCTCTTGGGAAAGCTACAGGCCATGGGGAAAGACAGTCCAAGAAAAAGGCCTTGCAGGTGGCAACCTGTGATGCAGTAGGGGAAGGTCCAGGCCACCCCCATGGGGTTAATGCATCACCAGTACCTTTCCTGCAAGCTGCATATGGAGATGCAGGACCTAGTATTTGTTGTGGTCAAATTCTGGGTTTGATTTGATCCAGTTCCAATTTTCTTATAACTCACTTTTGGAATGAGAATGTTTAGACTGGTCCATTTTATATTGGAATTATTTAAGTTTTTAAAAATGCTTTACAGGACCTCTCAGTTAATAGTTTGCCTTGAATCTCAGAAAAGAATTTGTATTAGAATTGTTGACTCATTTCTAATTTTAAGTTTTTAAATTGTTGCTGTGCTTGTAATGCATGGTAATTGCATTAATCTTCAGGAACTGGTACATTGAAGATGCCTTCTGCATCTTAACCATCTTTACTGCCTCTGTCATTGCCTGCATCTTCCCCAAGTCCTCTTTCCTTTTCACCTAGTTTGTCTTTGTATTTATTACATTTTCTCCATCATTTTGGTCTTTATTTATATTTGCAGTTTCTCATGTAAGAAAAGCCAAATGACATTAATCTTTCTATAATTTATTTCACTCAGCATTATGGTCCCAAGCCCTATCTGCTTTTGGTTTCTTTACTTTTGCATTTCCAACAGTAAAGTTTGCCCAGCTTTGTTTATGTCGTTGGCCTCGTATATTAGTAGTTACTCCCCATGCCCAAATTTTCATGAGTCCTTTTTTTTCCTACAGTTTTATTGATAAACAGATAGTAATGAGACAGTTTCAAATCAAATCAGAAGTACAGTTTCAACAAATAATACATTGCATATATTCTTCTTAGTGTTTAATTGCTGTACAAGATGCGGACTTGTGATCCTATTTACAAACACCATTAGAACAAATCATTCTATTCATTAAGACAATGCAACTATATATCT